AAAAAATCATATTAGTGGTCCGCAGGATTTAAAATGATGAATTTAGTGGTCCATGAGGTCCGAAAGGTTGGCGACCACTGATTTAGATCTACCAAGAAGTATGTAGTATAAGTGCCTACCTGACTGGATACAAATTGATTGGATAGTTTGGGTAGGTAGTCATATAACATAGTTTTGGTAACTATGTGAAGGTTCTCATTTATCCTTGGTACATCTTTAAATAATAGGTCAAGGCAACTGGACTTGCTGTATTTTTATTGAAGATGTTTCACTGGACATCCAACCAGCTTTCTCAATTCAGAATTGAACACATTTTTTTCCAGATATAGTTTTGGTAAGGTAAGCCTAAGGCCCTGTTCACACCAGGGCATATCATGAATGTGTACAAAAGTGTGCGAATTGACGTGTGTCCATGATACCTGCACAAATGCGGAATGCGTTTGTGTTGCCATTACTAGGTAATGGCACCTCAAACACGGCAAAGCAAACGTGTTTTCCCCCGCCGATTCACGCAGGAAAAAAACACGAAACCCATGTTGCTAAATTTGCGACATGTACTACTTTTCTGTGTTTGGCGCGTGCCCAATGGGGACTTGCGACCAACGTGGGAAATGAAGCCCCGCAAATGTACTGGAATGCGAGTTCCCATAACACATGTCCCTGCTATGCCCTGGTGTAAACGGGGCCTTAGGCTCACCATACATGTTCCAATCTGACCATACAGTCTTTATGCAATCAACTTTAGAGCTACCAAAACTATGTTATATAAGGGCCTATCTAATCTATCCAGTCAGTCGGTATACAAGGAAGGCCCTCGCACTACATAGTTGTTGGTAGATCTACAGATCGTAAAATCAGATTGCAATGTGTTTGGTGAGCGTTAGGCCCCATTCACACTTGGCGATTCGCAAATCGCGCGTTTGTCGTGCGATTTGCATTTTGCGCGATATCGAGTGATTTGTCGCGCGATATCGCGCAAATGCTTGCATTGAAAAGCATTGAATCGCAGCAAAATCCGCTCCAAAAAGGGTCCTGCTGTAGCGACGCACGACCCGCGACAGCAGGACCCTTTGCCATGCATTGGAGAGCGAATCGCGGTAAAAAAAACGCGCGACAGACGCGCATATGCAATACGCCTAGGTGTGAACGAGACCTAAAGGAGAACTATGGGGTCAGTGTTTTTCCCCATAGTTCTCCTTAGGGTAACGGGAGGACACAAACTAGCATCCTCCCGTTACCCTAAGCTCAGTATACCGCGAGCTACAGCTCACGGTATACTGAGACGCCGCAGCTGGAGCGGATCCCGACTTAGATGACGGGATCCGCCCAGCTGCGTGAGTGACAGCTGGCTCTGCCTATCTAGAGGCAGAGCCAGCTGTACCCGCCCCCTCCCCCGTCCGTTCCGCCAGTCAGCGCTGGCAGATCGGAGCGGGGAGAGAGGAATCCAGCCCCTCCCCCTGTCACGGCAGAGAGCCGTGACAGGATTGAGAGGTGAGCGAACCCGGTATGTGTTCCCTCACCTCCCGATCTACTGAGCCGACCTGTGACAGTCTCATTGTCACAGGTCGGCTAGAACTATGAGGTGAGTGGAAATCACTCACCTCATAGTTCTCCTTAAGTTAATTTTAGTGCACAAAAACACAATATAATACTCAATGGGGGGGAATTTATCAAAATCTTGGGCAGATTTGCACTGCAACCAATCAGCTTATGTGTTTCATTTTCAAATCTTACCTGAGCAAACTGAAGAGAGATGCTGATTGGTTGCCATGGGTATGTGTGGGCATGTGTGAGTATGTGGGGACAAGGGGGCGGGGGGGGCTTTAAAATCTATTTTTAGGGTGTTTTTAAATGTATTTTATTTAGCTTCATTGCTATCACATAGGGGGCTCACCATTCCCCTATGTGATAGCACTTTAGTGGTGACAGGTGATCTTTAAGGTGACATTGGGGGTCTTTTAGAGCCCTAATGTCACCATTGCAGCCCACTGAAGCTGATCAAGCACAGATCTTGCTTGATCAGCTTCTTCAGCTGGGAAATGACAGTTTAAAGAACTCCAAGTGATGAAATCATTGTTGCTTCCGGTTCCATTCATCTGGAAGGAGATCAGCGAATGGATGTTTGCTGGTCACTCTGCCCTCTACCCGCTGACACCCGTGATGCTGGTACCCTGCAGGAGGGGCAGTGGAGCCTGGGAAGCAAGGTGGAGGTTGTCGGGCATGGGTGAGTTGCAGCATGTGTACAGCACTGTTCGGCTGACGTGCTGACATTGCACTGGGCAATTGGGGGTGTGGTAAAACCGCAGGACAACCATCTGGTTTACTACCATGTCCATGTGTACAAGGCCATAGATCCCTAATTTCAGCTTGTAGACCTCAATGAAGCTGATCAAGTAGAGATCATGCTTCTCTTTTGCTTACACAATTTGTGCTAAAAGGAACCCTCCTCCTTCTCATCTCAGAAAGCTGGGAGGTAAGCTAACAGCACCACCCCCCCTTATTTCCTGTGGGTCTTCAGTCTGACCACGTAACGTCACAGGTCCTCTTTTTTTTTAACTGGTTGGTGGTCCTGGTTACTGCAGAGAATGGAGCTTTGTGCCATGGTACCATTCTCTGCAGCATTCTCCTGTGAGCCCAAGCGTGGCTTGATGATGTCCTTGACACCCTGAGCTTACAGGAAGTGGGTTGAATGAAGCTGGGTGTCATTCAACTAGGGTTGCCACCTGTCCAGGATTCACCCGGACAGTCCAGGTTTTGAATGCTGTGTCCAGGTTTCATGGCAGTTGAAACCCGGACACATGTCAGGCAGACAGGGGCAACCAAAATTCAGATAGGGGCTACTGGCCCCCCACTAAAAATATTCTCGACTGTGATATTTGCATGTGAATGGGTGACTTTATGTACATATGAATAAGCCATAATTAATTCTCCCCAAAACATTTCGGTGTGTCGCTAGAGTGTTTGGGTTTCGCTGGAAGAAAAGGTGGCAACCCTACATTCAACCCAGAAGGGGACTGGTGCTGGAACATAGAGGACCCGTGGGGCAGTGCTGGAGGGGGCACATTTGCAAGGAGTGGATTTGTGGTCCCCGCTTTCCTTTTGAATTAAGCGCAGTTGTGCGCAGCTCCGCCCACAAAGCCGTTTCATTCACAGGGAACTGTTGATGGAGAGACTACAAGTTTCATCTGCCACCGCGTAGATCTCAATGGAACACAACTGTGATAATGTCACCGCACTTGTACCCCATTGATCACTTACTGCAACCCCATAACCTGAGGTAAAAGACACGGACCTGGGAGAATAGTCTGCAGACACGCATGCATTTTATACCCACTTCTCTGATGGCAGGTGTAATGCTCTGCATACAAAAAATAAATATATTTTTCCTCTTTTATTAATGTGGTACATTTATAATTTTGCCCCCAAAACGAAACTATGCCTTTCAACCTTTCACACTTTCCTTAAACATTTTGGGGGAAGTTATCAAAACTGGAGCAGACAGATTCTGGAGCAGTTGCCCATGACAACCAGTCAGCATCTCTTTTCAGTTTGCTCAGGTAAGCTTTGAAAATGGACAAAGAAGCTGATTGGCTACAGTGCAAATCTGCTCCAGTTTTGATAAATTCCCTTCTTTATTTATTTTTTTCGTTTTTCCAACAGCAATAAAAACGGCGACAAGCAATACAATAAAACACGCCCCCGCCCATTCACGGTGCACAAAATGGCTGCTGTCACGTGACATGCTCCTCCACGCTCTGCGCACTGACGAAAATACTGTTTTTTAATAAAGTTGTTGAAGAAGGAAAAAAGAAATTCTAACTGAGCATGCGCGAGTGTGTTTATGCTGATCCCCGTGGACTACAGTTCCCGTGATGCTACGCGGCGCACCGTGACAGATGGGGTCAGGATGAATTCTGCGAGCTGTGCTGCTGCCATCACAGGTGACCGACGGTGTGTGTGCCTGCTCGGTGTAAGGTGAGGTGACACCGGGGTTCTGTGCTCGCTGCCAGGCTGTGTGCGTTGTCCGCAGTGCTCGGCCGCTTCAGGCGACCTTTGTATCCATAGCTGTGTCCAGTGTTGTCACCTGACAGCCCTGTGTGTGCATATTATTTGAGGGATTCTGCTGTTCCCGGGGGCAGGTAGGGTATTTACCCAGTTGGAGGGGCACCAACCCAAAGAATTGAATACACTGGGACTTGGACTGTTATGGCAATTAAAGTGCAAGTACACCCAGGGACAAAATTGTAATATATTGCAGCTTACCAGTCATTAGATGTGGTGGCTGCATTAGTTGTTTTTTTTTCAGGCTTTATTTTTACATAGTGATCCTGCAGTGTGACAACACTCACTGTACTGCATCTATGCAGAAGCAGCTTTGTCACTTTACTAGAAGTCTGAACTACAGGACACCTGCCTATTCCTCATCTCTGTAACATGGCGGAAGGTGCTTTGTAGTCCGCAGAGAAGTTGGAACCCATGCTGATCAGAGTGCAGCACAGGCAGAGGTTAGAGGAAATGATCAGCGCTCTAGATTTCTGGCAGGATCAACATCTATTGTTTTCAAACAGATTTAACAAAATGCTTTTATTAAAGTAGAACTATGGGGTTAGGGCTTTTCCCCATAGTTCTCCTTAGGGTAACGGGAGGACACAAACTAGCGTCCTCCCGTCACCCTAAGCTCAGTATACTGCGAGCTACTGCTCGTGGTATACCGAGACGCTGAAGCGGATCCCGAAATTGTGCCGGCATCCGCTTAGTGAAAAGCACTCACCTCATAGTTCTCCTTTAAGATATATTCCACAATAACCACAAAAGATATGACTTGACCTTGAGTGCGCCAAAAGTTTTTGCACACCCAGTTATTACCATGTTAAAGTAGCAGTGACATCATCACTGTGCTGTACATTGCCTGTGCAGAGAGCAGACCTGTGGGAGGGGCTCAGCATGCTCCACCCACTACTGAAAACTACAGGAGGGGGCGGGGTCAAGACCGGGCACTATTCTTTATGAAATACTGCTCCTTTTTTTTAGGATACATATAGACATTGAAGAAATAATTGTGTGTAGGTCTGTAGAGTCCACAAAGCCGGGATTTGGTTCTAGTGGATAACTGTGTACTGTCTCCCTGTTGTATTGGAAAGCTCTTGCGGACTCTAATCTCCTCCTTTTGTCCTGCAGCGTTTTGATCTCAGGTTTACCTTTTATACTCTCCCAAGCAACATCATGGCCGACACAAAACCACTTCACCAAAAAAGATTTGAAGCGGCTGTGAGCGTGATCCAAAGCTTGCCCAAGAATGGTAAGAACTGATCGACTGATGAATAAACAAAGGGGAGAAAGAAAGGCAACGCTTACTCATCATGATTAGTGTGACTGGTAGGTAGGGATGTACCGATACCATTTTTTTTTTTTGGTATAGAGTATGAGACCGATATTTTGCTTTAGGTACTCGCCGATACCAAGTACCAATACCGTGGTTCTGCTGGCATGAAGCCAGCTTCCCAGGCAATCGGGAAGCTGGGTGGCATGTAATGAAATGCTGCCCGTCTTCCTCATTCCCCGGGAAACCGGCTCCATGTTGTTTGGCTGGCTCGACTGTGATTGGCCGGGAAAGCGGCTTTCCAGCCAATCAGCATCGAGCCGGCTTCCCAGCCAATTAGCAAGTTGCCGGCTGTTCGACCAGCTCGATGCTGATTTGGCTGGGAAGCCAGCTTCCCAGCCAATCAGCATGAAGCCAGCTTCCCGGCCAATCAGGAAGCCGAGTCCATGTTCCCCTACTGCACTGCTGGTCAGAGGAAGTTTTCCTTTGACTGTAAGTTCCGGTATCGGGGAAGGTATCTGAGCATTTGGGCACGTATAAGTACTTGGCCAAATACTCGGTATCTGCACCGATACTGAGTAATTGCGTACTCGGCCGAGTACTTGTACTCGGCCAAATGCTCCGATACTTAACCCCGATACCAGAACTTCCGGTATGGGAGATATCCTCTCAAGGGAGCATGGAGCCAAATCATTACCCGCCATTACCAAACTCCATGCTGCTTGGTCAGCTCGATGCTGATACTCTCATCCACGTTGCATCATGCTGTGCTGATCCAAACATTGCAGGAAGTGTCTGTTCTGGCTGTGCCAGGAACTCACATCAAAGGCAGCAACATCGGCATGACCCCAACGCTGTCCAAAACAACTCCGGTGTTGGATGGTCTTTGCATTGAACGTCCGTGTGATGGTAGCCATCCAGTTTGTATACAGGTGTACCATAAATAGACATTTCCTTTACCCATTCCGCGTGCAGTAAGAGGTTGTTTGTTGACTTAACTCTTCCATCCCCAGCAGTATGTACTCCCGTTTCCTTGCTCTCATGTCTCTCCATGTGACAGCATAGGGCCAATCATGAAGCACCTAGAGCTGTCGCATGGAAGAAGAGGAGTGCAACGCTCACCAATACCTGATATTGAAGGGAATTTAACCAAATGGAGTGGTGAGTACATGCTGCGTAGGAAGGGGGAGGGGTGTGAAGTGACCTCTTTATTTTACTACCCTACATGAGCAGAGACAGGGCCACTTTAAGAATTATAAGTCTTATTATGTGGCCCTTTTTTTTTATAGACTTGCATGAGTAGATGTTTTTGCTTTTGTGTTATTTTCCCCCAAAACCTTTCTTCCAACATAGAGTATAAGTGATGGTATTAAAATGGAACTCCCTCTTATACTCCAACCTTCCCCCATTTGTGAAGCCTCTCCCTTGGTTTCTTAGAAGATAATAAAAACCTCTCTATAACTTTTTCCTCCAGTCTTCAAGTCGGTCCAGTGACCTCCCAGCTCCTCCTTCTTTTTCCTTCCGCAATGGACTGGCCTTCTTTCTGGACTAAATGGCGCAAGGGTAATGACCTGTGATCGCCACTTAGTCCAGGAGTACTGTGAGCTAATGCTTCCAAATGCCCTTCCAGCTTCATGCTATTGGGATATGCAGGAATGGGCATTTTCACTGGTACTGGTGTGTCGTAGTTCACATAGTAGAACCTGTTTAGAGTCTAAGATGACACAGCCGAATCATCCATTCACAAAAACTTTATACTGATTTTGCTGATTCCTCTGTAACACAATAATATATACTACTTGTGTTTCTTTTTCTTCTTGACAGTGTGCAAGTTGTCCCTTGACAGCTGTAGTTACACTTGACAATACTCCTCTTCTTGACTTGTGTTATTGGCTATATTAGCTGATTTTGGGCTGTATCAACGGCTTGCCTACAAGCTTCAAAAGACAGCATTGATGAGTCTTTCTCATCCAGGGTGCTGTAGAAAGCTAGGGTTCCCCCAGAGGTTGATAGGGGTTCCTTGAGCAATTTCTGCCTTTCAGATAGGTAACCACTGATACTAATGATCTTTTTAGCTGTCTGTGAGGGGAGCATTCTTCCCATTGACCCCCAGTGTAAGAATCGTTCTTCCCATTGACCACCAGCGTAAGAATCATTCTTCCCAGTAGCCACCAGGCTAATGTACTGTGAGCTTTAGATATATCTTGAGCAATTTCTGCCTTTCAGATAGGTAACCACTGATACTAATGATCTTTTTAGCTGTCTGTGAGGGGAGCATTCTTCCCATTGACCCCCAGTGTAAGAATCGTTCTTCCCATTGACCACCAGCGTAAGAATCATTCTTCCCAGTAGCCACCAGGCTAATGTACTGTGAGCTTTAGATATATCTTGAGCAATTTCTGCCTTTCAGATAGGTAACCACTGATACTAATGATCTTTTTAGCTGTCTGTGAGGGGAGCATTCTTCCCATTGACCCCCAGTGTAAGAATCGTTCTTCCCATTGACCACCAGCGTAAGAATCATTCTTCCCAGTAGCCACCAGGCTAATGTACTGTGAGCTTTAGATATATCTTGAGCAATTTCTGCCTTTCAGATAGGTAACCACTGATACTAATGATCTTTTTAGCTGTCTGTGAGGGGAGCATTCTTCCCATTGACCCCCAGTGTAAGAATCGTTCTTCCCATTGACCACCAGCGTAAGAATCATTCTTCCCAGTAGCCACCAGGCTAATGTACTGTGAGCTTTAGATATATCTTGAGCAATTTCTGCCTTTCAGATAGGTAACCACTGATACTAATGATCTTTTTAGCTGTCTGTGAGGGGAGCATTCTTCCCATTGACCCCCAGTGTAAGAATCGTTCTTCCCATTGACCACCAGCGTAAGAATCATTCTTCCCAGTAGCCACCAGGCTAATGTACTGTGAGCTTTAGATATATCTTGAGCAATTTCTGCCTTTCAGATAGGTAACCACTGATACTAATGATCTTTTTAGCTGTCTGTGAGGGGAGCATTCTTCCCATTGACCCCCAGTGTAAGAATCGTTCTTCCCATTGACCACCAGCGTAAGAATCATTCTTCCCAGTAGCCACCAGGCTAATGTACTGTGAGCTTTAGATATATCTTGAGCAATTTCTGCCTTTCAGATAGGTAACCACTGATACTAATGATCTTTTTAGCTGTCTGTGAGGGGAGCATTCTTCCCATTGACCCCCAGTGTAAGAATCGTTCTTCCCATTGACCACCAGCGTAAGAATCATTCTTCCCAGTAGCCACCAGGCTAATGTACTGTGAGCTGTAGATATATCGGATATTAACAGGGGTTCTCTAAGACCTGGAAGTTATTTTGAAGAGTTCCATGTTAAAAAGGTCCAGAAAGACTGGCTTAGATTGTCCCCTCTGAAATCTGTAGATGTGGAGTTTCCAGGAGTCCATTGTTAATTGAACTGTTATCGTTGTCCTAAATTCCTCATGTAAACTTTACATTTTAGGCTCATTTCAACCATCCAATGAAATGATGCTGAAATTCTACAGCTTTTACAAACAAGCAACACAAGGACCATGCAATATACCGAGGCCTGCATTTTGGGATCCTGTTGGCCGATACAAATGGTAATTTTATACTTTTGTTATTTTTATTATTTTTTATTTTCGTTTACACAGACAATAGAAATGAACACAATACACTCCAGTAAGACGGCATAGCCTCGTATGAATACACGGGTATACAATGTAAATTAGATAGCCACTTGTGTTTGTGTCTTATGCATTGTAAATGAAATCGTGAATACAATACCTGGCTATGTAATTCCACTGACAGCACAACTTCTGTGTTTTATAAGTAAGGAGAGTAGGGGGGTGGGGAGGTTGGATAGGTATGGTGTCTTGGTTGACCCTAGATGGGCTCAAGACATGTAAGTGGTGGGGAATAGAATAGTATACTATTATACTTGTAACTGATTCGTGACTGTGAGCTATTTGCTGATGTCTGAAAATCTAGATGTGATATAAACACTTCATAGTACATGACATGAGATCTGAAATAATTCTGTAAATATGGATATCACATGACTGGTAGACATTTAATACTGTTTTTCCTTGTGATTGTTTTAGATATGTGTGTATAGTGGAGTGTATTACCTGCATGCTATATGTCTGGGTTCATTTTTCAGGGATGCCTGGAATTCTTTGGGTGACATGACAAAGGAAGACGCCATGGTTGCTTATGTTGACGAAATGAAAAAGGTAAAACGCAAAATCACTGAACTGGCTATTGTTTATAATGGATACAAATGAAGTGTAAAGTAAACCTGGGAGGACAGAGATGTGGGTGCTGTCACGGGCTTTCACAGACTAATGGGTTTTTAAAGCGGAACTCTGGGCACAAATTGTATTAACTCTTGCAGGGGGGGGGGGGTAGCCCCACACTGCAAGGGTTAA